TTTTAACGAAGAAACCATACGAGGGCGAGATTCTGACGCCCCTGATGAACGACGACACGCGTCGATTTCGAAGGCGTAACCATTGATGTGTCGATTCAACTTGATGGACACACGTGAAAAGGATGTTCTGAGTTTTCGTAGAAGTCGATTTTAATTTAATAGGGTAATATATGTTATACATATATTTGGATCGACTTTTTTCTCGATAGAAAATTAAATTATGCTATATTAAAGGTATAATGATCTATTTAGACGAGTTTTTATTTTCCTTTTTAAAGAAATGTTCGTAGATTGTTTTCGTGGTATTCTCGATTTCCTTTTGATTTGCGTTATTGTAAACTTTGTTAAAAAAAATAATTTTCGTGAAAAAAATGTGTATTTTATATATTTGAAAAGTAAGTTCTTTTAGAAGAATCTTATTCAAGTTTCTTTTTTCCTTCGATTTAGAAGGTTAAGTTAAGTGAAACGAAACGTGGTGGAGAGAAACGAGTTTTGAGAAGTGGATCGAAGACAAAGGCGATTCCGGCTCACAATTTCTATCGAATCCGCGGGATTCAATTGTTTTTCGACTGAATTCTCCGAGAAATACGATCTAAAAGGGATGAACCCTCATTTTCTATCTTCTAGCGAGAAGAAAAAAAATTGTTTCTTCGGATATTTCGCGCGAGAAATTTTCAATTTCAACGGGAAAACTTTGAAAGCACTCAAACTGCGAAGCGAATTATGTAAATTTCCTATTACTTTTTCGCAAGAAATAACCTATATTCTTCGCCATTTTTATATCTATTTTTATCCTGAAATTACTTACTGAAATTAGTTTATTACGAACAATTAATTTCCTCCCCTTTGAACTATTTATCTGCAAGATAATAATAATAATTAATATTAATAAAATATTAATTTTTGTGTCACAAGTATCTTTATCACCTCGCAACAAGAATATAAAAAGATCTAATCATTTAATATATCTTTTACTCTATTATGACACTTTTCACTTGATCGAAACGACAGGAAATCAATAATAATGACATTTACAATTTCGTTATTAAATATTCCAAGATCCATGTCAATCTATGTCACTGCCAATAACAAGACAATAATTTGTCTAAAACGCGATCACAGAGAGAAATGAAAGCCTGTTCAAAAAAAAAAAAAAAAAAAAAAAAA